CAATTGCTATTTTAGCTTGCGATTAGAACCCGAATTTTATTGAAATAATAGGAGTTGGGATGACCTCAAAAAAAAGCATTTCCATCGATTTTTTACCATTTCTTGAGTATCCAAATATATTATAAGTTCCTAGGTAATTGTTCTTTAACATAAAAAAATAGTAAAGCACAAAATATTAACCTCATATCTATGCCCTAACATTCATCATCATCACTTCTTCCTACATTAAGTTGATTTTCCCATTTATCGCAAACTAAAGCAATCAACATCTTATGCCGATTTATTTGATACCTCGGACAGTCCAATGAGACAATTCAATTGGTGTATAACTTTTATTAACTTTGAATACAAAATTATAGTAAAACTACCCCTGTTTCTTCTTCTAATATATGTTTAACTACCTCTTGATGCTTTAAGCTGACCTCTCCTTCTAATCAATCTCCCCTATTCGTTATTGACCTCATAGCCCTGTACGTTCTTCTATTGGACCAAACATAGACATTTATTAAAGTTTTTTGATTTTTTTGTTAAAAGCGATCCAACCTTGGGCTTTTTTCTATTTCTAATTTCCTAAAAACCTAAAATGGACATGTTCTCCTGTTTTGCCTTTTTTTATGTTTACATTATCTCTAGGTTACTTTTAATCCTCTACTTACGGAAATATTCGCATTATAAGTATTCACTAATTCTCATACCATACGCTTATCTCAATATTACATTCATTTCAATCATTCGACTTTAATTCATAAAATTTCATCAAGGAATTCACATTGTTATTAATTTATATTAAAAATGCCCCTTGTACAGATACAGTGTAACTCTCGCAGCTACACAGACAAATATGTATATACATGTATAATAATTTAGGCAGGTAATAATAATAATAATAAAAAGTGCATAAAGTTACTACTAGTAAGTTACCTTTTCTTTTACAATAGGCAACTGACTAAATTGTTGGTTGTCACTATAAAGAACATTTTTATTATTTCTTGATTTTATAGAATTCGTGATCACAAATTTCACTTTTGTTTTTATTCCCATTCCCACAAACAATTAGTACAAAAAGCTTTCGTATAGTGTAAACTTTTTTTCATTTAAGAACAGTAATATTTTAACGAAATTGTGGCCTTAATGCATAAAAAACAAATTTGTTAATTTAATAAATAATAATCGTCCATTTGTACTTTTAGAACCAAAGAATATCTACTTAAGTTTTGTATTAAGTCAAAATATGTACGTTATTTGTACTTAAAGTAGTTAAGATTCTGATCGTTAATCAAACCGTTATCTCTAGAATAAAACTAGCCGTAGCAGTTATATATTTAAATGCTTTTATTAGCGACAAATTTTGTAAATGTATAAAAAATCGAAGACGTGCTTAAAAATTATCTAAGCTGATTATGGGCACATTTGGATCTGCCAAAAGTCATTATTTAAAACTGACAGTTTATGTTTATATTTTGATAATTTTATTTATCCATTTATGGACAAAAGTCAGTTTTCGTAATTATCATGTACTTATCATTAATATTTCGAAGAAGCACAATGTAATCCCTTTTGGCAGATTTTTTAGTTACATACATATTACAAACACAAATTTTAATTGTAATGTATTTATAAGGCCTACCTTCTACAAACAAAATACGTTTAAAGATAAGCACAGTTTATTTATTTAATCCTAATTTTCACTAAGTGGAAACAATGTTAATAGCCTATACAATTTGCTGAAAATTGTTTTTATATAGAAAATAAGACATTTACGAACGATACCGCTACATTTCTTCGATTAACACAATTATTTATTATTTGTTGCAAGTATTAAGTGCTTTTAGAGAATCTGATTTTATGATAAACTGGTCCTGTCCTGGTGAAACCAGTTTATCCGAGGAGCAATAGGACGAATCATGTTTGATCTAATTGAAACCGGTTTACCCTCAAATGTTACCAGCCGAACCTGATTCCTGCATTAATTACTTTCACCTAAAGGAAACTGGTTTTTAAATTTCAAATTAGCGAAATCTACGCACATCGCTTTTCGGACCAACTAATTTGGTCTAAACAAAACCTGTTTATCCACTAGCTAAACCTGATTTCGGTAGAAACTATTTTTAATTTTAAATAAGGGCAATTTAAACTACGACTAAGCTACTGGGATAAATTGGTCTGCCCCATGCTCTTTCGATAGGTAACTAATTTTTTCTAGACAATAGTTTATCCGAAAATTGGGTTTGGTCGGTAACTATGAATACATCGCAAAAGTGGTCTATATCATTTATTATTTAGATATGTTAAAGTGAAGCTTTTATTTTTTATGAATACTCTTTACTAGTAATAGTTACTTCTTGAACTTTTCAAATACATTTACTTAGTATATTTATTTAATGTTGTTGGAAAAATTTCACCACAACCTTCCGAATGTTGATTATTGATACCCTGGAATATATATTTTCCACCTAATTGCAAATATTTATTCTTTGATTTGATTATAGTATGGGTAAATATGCGCAGNTATTATTTATTCTGTATTTTAAGTATGTAGGGCTTTCATATTTATTACTTGTAGTGTACATATTCTGTTGGAATACATGCATTTGTTCTTTTAAATGAAATTTTCAATAGGAATTCAAAAAGTAATAATTCATCTACTTAATTTTTAAAGCAACTTTTTTACCAGTTCAGTATAAATACATAAATAATTTGTAGATCACAGTGACGTAGCTTAGGTGTTAAGTTTAGGTTTTGTAAGTGTTCGTATACATATTCGTAAAAAAATTAATAATAATAAAATAAAAACTGCGATACACTACTAGTTTTTTTAATTAATTACTATCAAAAATTAAAAACCAATTTCAATTTATTTTTAGATCAATTAGAAAGTTGATCTATCACAGAGTTAAATTTCATATTAAAGTTTCGAAAAAGTTACTTCTATGAATCGAAATAGCCTATACTTATTGAAACGTCAAAATGTAACAAACTTCGCGTTATAAAATTGCTTATTTGCGAAGATTTCTTAAGGATTTTTAGATTCTTTGCTCGTGCACAATAAAAAAACATCAAAATGTTTGGAATAGAAAAAAAAGAAATTTGTGGGTATGAAACCCTCTTCAGAGAATGGGGCTACTTTCTGACCTTCAGGGAAAATTTTGAACCAGGTAAACAAATTAAACAATTTGTACGGTAAATCATTTATTTTAAAGTAATAAAACCTTGAGTGGGTCCCATAATTTAAAAAAAAATTAAAAGGAGAAATTAAATTAGGATCTCGACCTTAAACTTCGAGGTTATTTGCAGGTCAAATTTTTTGAATGGGAATGCAAACTTTTGAACAATGAAATAATGGAATAAAATAATTCGAAGTGGTCTGTATTCTGTCGTAACTGCCAGACGCTGATCGCGATGTCGATCTCTTTGGATCTCATCAGCGCGTCGCAGACAGCTCCGACAGAACACACACCACTTCGAATTATTTTATTCGATTATGGTAACGTGCCTACCACGTTAAGCTTAGCTACGCCGGGATTCGTTTCATCAAGTAGATATCCACACAAGTGGACCTTGTTGGAGCATACGAATCCTAAAATGTAGCATCGTACTACAGATGGCGTTTACCGCGCCATTTGTAGTATTTTCTAAAATTAACTAATGAGTTAAGAACAAATTAATTTGAAGAGTATTTTCGATTTAAGAATTTCCCGTTTTTTTCAATGCTGGTGTGGTCCCACTTAAAAAAAATACTTGATCGTCAAATGCCCTTGAAGGTTAACAACGAGGTCCCAGTCGGCTCACCAACCGAGTTTTCTTTCTAAATCATTCAATTTTCCGAAATAATAGGATCCAATCAAGATATTTCATTATGTAAAGATAAACGACACCCTGTATATGATCAACACAAAAAGCTCCTTTGTCTGTAAATACAAGACCGAATAAACGTTTACTGTGTTTCATATCACCGTTATTTTCTAAGGGCTCGAACAGTTCAATACTGCTGTTACTAAAGTACCAAATGATAAGAGAGCACTTCTGGGTAGAGCCCTTACAAGAGCTAAACTTTGCCATTATGCTGAAGCACTTGAAGATATCAATAAAGCTGACAAACTCGCTGGCGAGGAAATAGATTTAACCATTAAAGCTCAAAAAGCTTTAATAACATATTTGAGTTGCGAATTTGAGGAAGCAATGGTTATGAACCTTCGTCTGATACCACTCAGAAAAAAACCAGATCACTTTGTCATGGGTGCCATGCATGTTAGTAAATCAATTTCCCGCTACAATTTTATATCATTTTCTTTATCATATAATTTAGTTGGTCAAGGTTATACATACCATGCTTTGCAATTAATGAAATAATATTACGGAGGAAGACACAGGGTCATGGTAAAACCTGCGAACGAATGAGAAAATGGAGATACTGTTCTCTTCTTGTATTTATTTGTATAGGGTTGTTCGGAAAGTCATTTCGTTTTTTCCCGACAGAGGATTTAATTGTATTCTTTTGCACCCAACTTCACATTTAAGCCGTATATATTATTAAATTATTACAGCAATGTGCAAGTTACTGAATTCTATATGTTGTATCAGGTGCTGGTGGTAAAAAGAACAGACAAAAAGAAAGAAGATTGATGAAAGGATTCAATATTGGTCCACAACCGTCTCCTTCTACGGGTCCGTTACCCCCTGTCGCCGAATTTATCGCGTCCCTACAAAATCACCACAATCATGAAGGACATAATCACAATGACATATTTGGATCAACGTTATCGGGAATTTTCAATCAGACGCCACGAAGAATGCAACAACAGAGCACAGTTTCGTCCTCACAAGGAAGCATCAACGAAGGACCAACATATCACATTCACCACCATAACCATCACAGAATTTCATCCAAACATGACTGGTAAGCTGTTTCTGTGGATTATTTCCAAACTTTTTGAAGGTCAGGTTAATGTATGAGACTTTGTTTTCTTCATCTAGTTCGTCCTCTAGGTTTAACATGAAGAGATCTTCATCCCACAAACGTCGCTGGGGAACCATAATCGAAGCTGCCAAAACAGGAAAAGTGTCTCGACTCATTGGCCGTTCCAGATCAGAAGACTCCGTATGCAATTCTAATTGCCAAGAAAATGGGCATCATCATCATTCACGGAGTCACAGTAATAGTCCTGCTTCTGATGACAACGGATCTAGCGCGTCAGATTCCAATCCCAGTTTAGATAATGCTGAACGGCCCGTTCATGGAGAGCACCAGGAGCATCACAATCATCACAGTATTGTAAGTGGACTGGCGTTGCTCAAGAAAAAACGAAAAAAATTCAGCGCTTCTAGAAATACTAGTCCTGTAGTTATACCGCCTAACGAAGCCGCTATTGAACAAGCTGTAGCTGTTTGTATAGGCAAAAATAATAAAAAGGTAAGCAATATAGGATATCAATCATCATCATCATAAGGTCGTTAGTCCTAAGACTGATTGGACACGCACCTCCACTATTTCTTATCCTGCGCTAATCTTCGCATTTCCCTAAAACTAGAACAGCCCACATCCTCAACTATTTGCGAATAGTAATCTAATCTAGGTCTACCTCTACCTCTCCTAACTTCAGTTTCTGCCTCTAATATGTTTTTGACTAGACCTTGTCTGAGAAGGTGTCCTACCAACCTATCTTGCCTATTTCTTATTGACTTCCATAGAATCTTCTGTTCTCCTATTTTTTCTAATACCTCTTCATATTCAACCTTCTCTATCCACGGTATCCTTATCATTAGCCTGTAACACCACATTTCGAAAGCTTCTAACCTTTTCTTTTTCGCCGCGCCCACTGTCCATGTTTCGCACCCGTACAACGCCGTGCTCCAAACATACACCTTTAACAACCTTCTTCGAACTTCTAAATTAACCGTTCACGAGCATACAAGTGATTTCTGTTTAATGAAAGCGACTCGACCCTGTGCTATCCTTAGAAAATTAA